GGATGCCTAGATTTGTCTGCTGCAGGACACAGTGTTGGGTAATATTTAAATACAGAGCATTTGCTGAGAATCACCTGTCTGACTTAGGGAGAAGCTGTGGTGCTAACTGGCTTCAATGATTCTATAAGTGACCCTGGGCAGCCTGACCCGAGTTGGGCAGAAGGCTCACTCTTGTGTTCTGTCCTGGAGAGCCTGTTCCCCACTGGACTTTACAAGGCCTCCTGGCTGAGAGGAACTCCTTAGAAGACTAAGTGTGAGGTGAAAGGTGAGGCCAACAAACCTCTGTGGTGCCCAACTGTATTAGAGTGCTAGAGTTGCCAAGACGAAGTACCACAGACTTGGAGGCTTAGACTACAGGAAACTATTTTCTCACAGTTCTGGAGGCTTGAAGTACAAGATCAAGGTGTCTATAAGTCTGGTTTCTCCTGAGTCTTCCTCCTTGGTTTACAAATTCCCTCTTCTTATAAGGACACCAGTTATATTGGATTACAGCCACCCTAATCACCCCATTTTAACTTAATCATCTTTTTTTTAAGATATATTCATTTATGCATACAAGAACTGGGGTACAGGCCAGAGGTGTTGGGGGTGGTGGTGAGAGGATTCACCAGAGACAAAGTAGGGAACAAAACAGGCAGACTGACTGAAATACACTGCAGAGTGGAACAGTGGGGCGAGACAGGAGAGGTCTGCTGTGCCATGTGGGTAGCTCCCTGGCTGGGAATCAAACTCGTGCTGCAGAGGCTGTGGATAGCTTCATAGTGCTGTGCTTAAGCCCTTGTGCCACCAGGGAGGCCCTAACTTAGTCGTTCTCTTTAAAGGCCCTAGATCCAAACATAGTCACATTTTGAGGGTTTGGAATGCAATATATGTATATTGGGGGAAATACAGTTCAACTCATAGCTTCAGCTTTTCACACCTGATGCTAAAAATGGTCAGACATTATCCTGAGTCCACTTTTAGGGAGTTAGATGAGATGACACAAATACAAACGCCCATCAGATGTCCAAACTGGCTCTGGAGAAAAGAGCAGATTTCAAAATAACCTAAGGAAGTGGGTAGAAGAAAAAAAAAAACCTTGGTTTGACATTTTGTTTATTTACACTTTGCTTTGTTCCAGAAGGATATGAGGGGAGGGACTCCCAGATTAAGGCATAAACGTCTATCCTGCCTGCCTTTTCGCTCCCTCACTGCCACCACCACCTCATCCTTGCCTCCTCGTGATGAGAGTGCACACAGAAGCTGCACCCTGAGGTGAGGATAGGGAAGGCACTTAGCAAACAGTTTGTCAAGGCAGAGGATGGTGCTCTAGGGGCTTACAAAAGGTAATGTCACTTCCCAGGGTCTCTGAAAGAGGAAACGTGGAGACTGGCAAACAAAGCATGGTGGTGAAGAACTAGTTTATGTTTCCTCAAAGAATTATCATTAAACTATGATAAATTCGGAGACCCCATTAGAAAATATTAATCTCAGCATTCAAGGATTAACAGATATGTATTACCCACCTATTAGGTGCCAAGCAATACACTCATCATTTGAGGCTACACTGGTGAGCAAGTCTTCAATATTAGTAGCAAACACACAAATTGTCAAGTACTTGTATCTTAAACCATGTATGCTTACAAAATACACTTTACAGCAGAAGTGGAGCAAAAGAGATTATTTGTATGTGACTCAAATCCACACAAGGAAGAAAAGAGGCAAATATTGGTTTTTATCCTCCTTTATTTTGTTTCTTAATTAACTTTTTAATTTTCTTACATCATTGTTCATTTTTGTACAGTAGTTGATTTCTTCCCTCAGGTGCAGTCCCTGTAACTCTCCCACCACCACACCACCTGTGAACCGTCATCAGGGTTCCTTGTGCTTTTCCCTCCCCATCTCTATTCCTCTCCCTCCTTTTCCCCCTCCCCTATTGTAAGCTCAGATCTACAGTTTGAGGCAAATATTTGAACTTAGGAAAATCTTGGTGGCTCTAAACTTCACATATTTCTGCCATAGATATTTGGAAGTTAGGCAAGGATGTTATGGAGTCTTTTTCTCCAGATGTTTAGATAGGCTGAGGTCCATAAATTTTCTCTAAATATATAACTGAGTTCTCAGACTGATCTAGGTCAGGGAGTAGGGGGAACAGGGGTTCAGCAAGGGGAGCTGTAAGGGCAGGACTGGATACAGTGCAGGTTTTCTGATCCCATGCAGACCGGGTAAAGGAGGAGTCAGAGTCCTCAGTAGTTTTGCAGGTTTTTTATTTGGGGTTCACCAGGCATATGGCAGGCAGGGGTGCTGGCTGGGGGGCTGGGAGGCTGGCAGGCCTCCCAGCCCCCAGCAAGTCCTCACTCTATCTGGGCTCTCTGGCGTTCTCTGCTTCTGCTTCGGCTTCTCCTTCAGGTTCTGCTGCTGCTGGCTGGGGCTGCTAGCGTCCCCCCGTGACGCCGCCCTTAAAAGCACAGTCTTAGCTCAGCTGAATCCCATCTACCTATGCCCACACCCTATTCCAGGTGCCCACCATCAGGCATGCATTCAGGACAAGGATCCATCATCTATCCTGATGGCGGAAGGGCAGAAAAGCCTGATATTTTCTTTACCCTACAGGAGCTCAGACGGGGTCCAAGATAAATTTCATCACTTCGTAATTTTACTTGGTGTTGGCAGTGATCTTTGTGAAAACCTGGACAGATCAAAAAGTGAATGCATTTAATTTTAAAATGAAGCAGAATTAAGTCAGAACAGTCTTAAGTATGTCAGAACTTCAGCTCCTCATTTTGAAAATGATAAATAATATGAACTGGGCCTCCCTGGTGGCTCAGGCGGTTGAGGGCTGTGAAGCTGTCCAGTCTTGGCAGTGCCAGTTTGATCCCCACTGGCCACAGAGATACCCACATGGCGGGACAGACCTCTCTTGCCTTGCCCTGCTGTTCCCCTCAGCAGTGTATTTCAGTCAGTCTGCCTGTTCTGTTCCATGCTCTGTCTCTGGTGAATCCTCACCCTCCCACACATCTGACCTGTACCTCGGTTCTTGTATAACTAAATCTTAAAAAAAAAAAAAAAAAAAATGAACCATTCTGAGTTATCAGAGCAGTAGCTGGAGACCGGGTGTAGGGTAAATAAATGGTATCAGGCTTTTCTGCCCTCCTGCCATTAGCACTGATGATGGAACCGTGTGGTCCTGAATGCATGCCTGATGGCAGACACCTGGAGTAGGGTGGGGGCATGCCTAAGTGGGTACACCTGGGCTAAGGCTGGGCTTTTAAGGGAGGCATCACGGGGACACCAGTAAAGCAGAGAAGCATAGAAAAAGAGGGGAAAATGAGCAGAAAAGAAATGGCCAGGAGAGAACACTGAAGAGCCACACCTGCCTGCCATGTACCTGGTAAATCCCAAATAGAGTCTGAAAAGCCACCTTTATTCCGTCTGCTCGGATCATCGATAACCTGCTCAGTGTCCTGTCCTGCCATTACACCGGGTCAGGCTAGAGTCCATACAAAGCCCCAGGGACTTCCTAATTCCTTGTTTATTCTTATTTGTCTCTTACACCATACACGTAACGTTCTTCTACGAGGTGTTTCAAATCAAAGTGCTCACAGGCAAAAGCTTAAAACAGTTAATTCCGTCTTTAGCTATCAAGGTCGTTGTACAAACTCCCACTGTTTTCCTGGGCTCTGCGGAGTGGCGCTGCATAATAATTTTAGTGGATCAGCATAAAGGCACAGGCCTTGCAGTTTGGAAACTTAAACTCCTGGAAACCACCGAGTCACCCCGTCCGGAAATGCCTTGCATTTGTTTGGCGGTGTCCATGTTCAGTGGCGTTAAAGAATGTGAGGTCGAAAAGGTCATTCCTCATTCCTGAGAGGCCGTCCCCGTGCGGGCTTCACGTCGGTTTTGCGAGCAGTGTCTAAAGCCTAGGGCTGCCGTCGTGGCGTCTCGTGTTCGGCCTAAGTGAGAGCCGCTTCTCTGCATCCAAACACGAGGGAGCAAGGACTCTGGGGTCCCCGCGGCCAGGACCAGCGCGCAGTCGACCCAGCCGGCTGACCCCCGGGAGGCCAGCGGCCCTCTAGGAGCTGAAGGCAACCCCTGGAAGGCCTGGCCGTCCCTCCGCTCGCAAGCGCGGGCCGCGAGACGGGGCGAGCGGGTCTCCAGCACCTGTGCTAGCTCGAAGATCGCCCACGCCCGCTCCAGCCGGGCTCCACAGCAGCCCCGGGCCGCTCTCCCGGCGACCGGGCCGGGCGGGGCGGGGCGCGGGGCGGGGCGCGGGGCGGGGCGCGGGGCGGGGCGCGGGGCGGGGCGCGGGGCGGGGCGCGGGGCGGGGCGCGGGGCGGGGCGCGGGGCGGGGCGCGGGGCGGGGCCGCGAGCCGGTGGGGCGGGGCGGGGGGGGGTTGGGCGCGGGGCGGGGCGCGGGGCGGGGCGCGGGGCGGGGCCGCGAGCCGGCGGGGCGGGGCTCGGCCCTCCGCGTGGCCCGGGGGGCGGGCAGAGTCCGCAGGACGGGCCGGGGGAGGAATCGGGGCGGGGGTTGAGGATCGGGCTGGGCAGGGAGGGAGCCGGACGTGAGGGGCGGGTCGAGGGTGAAGCGCGGAGCCGCACTCTGCACGGGGCGGGCGGGGCTCGGGGACGGGCCAGGAGGAGGAGCGAAGCGTGGAGAGGGCCTCTCCTACGGGAGGACCTGATTGGACCTTGAGCGGGACGGGGGCGGGGCGGAGCGCAGACGCCCGGCGGAAAGGGGCGGGGCCTGGGTAGGGGGATGTGCGGCAGGAGCGGAGGCTCCACTCCTCGCGGGTAGGGGCGGGGCTATGTGGGGGGCGTGTCTAGAGACGGGGCGGGGCGGGGCTGGAGGCGGGGCCGGGGCGGGCGGGGCGGGGCGCGGGACGCGCGGCGCGGTAACCCCGCTGTCGGCCGGGTCCTCGCGCTTCCCGCGGACACAGCTGAGGGGCGGGCGGGGGCCGAGGCGGAGGGCGGCGGGTGGAAGAGCAGGGCGTGCAGAGCCTATTCGGGGCTGCGAGCGCCGGTGGGGCCCGGCGAGGAGGCTGGACGTGGCGGGGACCGGAGAGGCCGCGATGAAGCCGAGCGGCGAGGCCGGGGCGGCGCCCTCCGCGGGCCCCTGGGAGGAGAGCTTCGAGGCTGCGGTGCAGCTGGCGCTGCGGGCGGGACAGGTGAGCGCCGCGTCCTGCTCCCTGGCGGGCAGGCTCCCGGGCGCCCCGGCCGTCGCCCTGGCCACATAACGCCCACTCGGGACCTGTGGAAGTCACCGCGGGAGTCGGGTCGAACGGAGGGAGCCCGGCGGGGCTCGGGGAGCGGGTCCGGGGGGCATGAGACTGGGGGGCGGGCCGGGCCCGGGGGTGCGGGGTTTGGGGAGGGTCAGTCTTTATGAGGCGGGCCTGGGCCGGGCCGGCGGGGAGCAGTCAGTGGGCGTCGGAGTTTTGCGGGCCGGGCCGGGGTGCTGGGGCTTGGGACGGTGAAAGGAGTCTTTGTGCTGGTTTCCTGCACAGACTTTCACTTTACCTTCCCCACCCCTGGAGCCGGAGGTGAGCACCTACCTCCTCCCGCGTAGTCCTCTGCGTGGTCGCCGCCCACGAAGCGTGTCTGGCACAGCCCCCTCCTCCGGCAGGTGAACGGCCGGCTGTGGGTGACCTGACCTTTGTCCGGACGGGGTTGGCCATGCAGGGAAGGCCAGGGCTTTACAGCACTTCTTGGTCTTGAATACCTCATTGTCTTAAATGACCTTTTTAATTGATCCAGTGGCAGAACCTGCGTGGGTTGCCCCCAGGTGTACACCCTAGTCCGCGGTGACCTGGCAGGCGGGCTGTTTTGGTTGTCTTTCCTCGAGCGTCTTGAAGCTACCCTTGCTCTGACCCGCAGCAGCTCCCCTCAGTAATTGGAGGAATTTGTCACACTGGCCAGAGCATGAACATCAAGCCGCAGAGCTAAAGAAACCACTTACTAGTTTCAAAAAGGGGTGCAGCCCCCCTCTTTTCTCACTTTGGTTTATGTGTGTTCGGTCCTCCTCTTCCTCAGTACCTTCAGCCGTGCTTGACACACAGTAGGTACCATCCATATGGGTGGCTGAATGAGTGGGCGTCCGGGCAGAGATCCATTGAGTGGGGAGGTGATTTACACTCGCTTTGCTTGTTAAGGTACCTGATTGTGTGCTGGTGATTGGGAGACTGAAGATGGACAGGAGAAGGAGCTGTGTGGGCAGATTGACTTTTTATATCCAAACAGCATTTTCTTTTTCAGGTCTAGCTGTCTGAAAATGCTCCAGAAGTTTTCCCTAGGTGTTAAAATCAGGCTGCTGCCAATTTTAAATCTGAAGTGAGTCCCCTGGTGTACAGTGGATGGTGCTTTACCTGGGTGTGAATGGGTCCTCTAATCCCCTGTAAACCTTAATCTTCAGCACCAAGTAGACACATTGCTTGTTGGAAGGCCCTCCCTCTGTGGTTTTAGCGGTCCAAGTGCATGTCTTAAAATGTTGTGAAACTTATCCTATGACTTCATCACCCTCCCCTTCTGTAGGAAAAGGAGGATCCCAAGCCTTACCTGTTCGTGTGATGAAGGTTACAGGCAGTTGTCTTCCTGGAAAGCAGAACTGTGCAGGAACTGCTCTCCCTCCCCCAGGCCCCTTACTTCCTTTCCAGAGTGAACATCATCAGGATATTTAGTAACCTTTAGGTTTCAAGCTAAAGTATTTCTGCCTTGAGGAGGAAGAGGTTTAGAATTCAGACAGTCCTATGTAAACCCTGCTGAGCTATTGTGGATTTATGTGGCTTTTCAAATTTAGATCCTTGAAGAAACAGAAGGGTTTTTAAAATTAATTTATTTTAACACCTGCTGGTATAAAACTTGTGATGTGGTAGGCACATTTCTAAGGATCTTATGAATTTTAACTTACTTTAGTCTTACGTTATTGCAACTTTCCAAAACAACAACAAAAAGGCTTTTTAAATGAGCCGGGCAGGGGTGAAATAAAGATTCTGCCATTAGGAGTCTGGTCAGGGAGCCCAGGACTCTGGGCTCCCTCTTGGGCATTATGCTGATGCTTCCTGCCTGCTGGGCAGTGAGGGAAAGAGAATGGCTGGAATGGTCTGTGGCTGGAACAAACAAACCGCACAACGTCATTGTAACCTGTGTAAAGAGGGACAGATTGTCTTAATGTTTTTACAGTAATGGGGTGCTGATTGGAGAACCCAGCCTTTAGCCGGATAGCCTAGTGAGGCATGAAATGAGGCATGGTAGTGGCTATCCTTTCTGAGTCCTCCTTAGCTAAGAGTGTTTGGCACTGTTACTGTGGCCTTGCAGCCCAACTTGCCCACTCTCTAACCAGTGGCTAATTTACTAAGTTTGCTACTTTCAACTGTTCCTCATACTGAGTTCTGTATGCTGACTTCCTATATGCTGCAAGGTGGAGGGAGTGAAAGGAGGAGCCTCCCAAAAGATAAAAAGTCTTTGCCCTTGATCTTTCATACATTGGCTGGGATAAGGGCAGCCCTAGGTAACCCTTTGCCCTGTCCTGGGAGGTCTCCAGCCCCAGTGCCAGCCTCCATGAGTATCTTCCCATTGTCTTTGCCTCTGGACTACACATTTGTGCAGTGCCTCCTGGCATTATCCCTTTCCATGTAGTCCCAGCCACCCACACCACTACAGGAATTCCTCCCTGGCTGTTAGGCTTTGGGTGGGAGGGGGAGTTACCAACACACACACCCCCCACCACCACCACCACCACAAATACAAATTCGTCAGTATTCGTCAGTATTCGTCAGAATGGATGCTTATCATCCTTAATATGGAACAAAAGTATCTTGGAAAACTATGCTTGTTTAATTGTCCTGCTGGGATAGATCCAGATTTTGTTGGTTCTGAAGCATAGGCAATTTAGGAACCCTTGTTAAGGAAAAAAAATACAGAATTACAAATTCAATATTAGGTACAAAAATTATTAGAATAAAAATTATAGCATTATATGAGTTTTAAGATGTTAACAAATATAACAAACCACAAAAATAATTCTTTATCTGCCTCTCAATTTCTATACTTTTTTTGACTTATTTCACACTGTTTGTACCTTCCAGTAACAGTGATTTTGTAGCATTTTCTGTGAACAGAATAGAAAGATGAATTCAGCCTGTCCTCTAGTATGACTGAGTAAAATTGACTACTATTAGGTTAGAAGAGTTTATTTTAGGCTTCAAGCTTGTTAATGAATTTTTAGGTGCTGTCAAATTTGAGAATCCTGTCAGTTTTCATTTATATATGAGTTGTAAGATGTGGAAGAATTTTCCATAGACTAGCTACTGGCTCCATACAGTTGAAGTTTGGCATCTTTCCTTGATTCCATGGGCCAGCTGCTGCTCTGGTCCTGCCATTTATGTCACCAGGCCAGATCAATTGGTGTGACGGTAGAATTATTTCTGGAAGCCATTCTTACACAGGATAGCTAACAACTTATACACAGATATTACCGCCAACCCCACAGAAAATCCCATCAAACCTCTAGTAAATGCATTTCCACTTAACTTCCCTTCAGCCAAAAATGCCCATACCAGGGCTCCCTGGTGGCACAAGGGGTTAAGATTCAACGTATGAAGCTATCCGCAGCCACTGTGGCACGAGTTTGATCCCCAGCCAGGCAGCTACCCACATGGTGCAGCAGACCTCTCCTGCCTCGCCCACTGCAACCCTCAGCAGTGTTTTCAGCCAGTCTGCCTGTTCTGCTTCCTACTCTGTCTGTGGTGAATCCTCTTACCCTCCACACCTCTGGCCTATACCCTAGTTCTTGTATGCATAAATAAATGAATCTTTAAAAAAAATGCCCATACCAGTTCCAGTGCCACCTGACATGAAATATGACAGAGGGTACATCAGAGTGGGAAAAGTCAGTAGTTATACCTATAGTTAGAATAACTCACTTTTGCAAATTTGAAAAAGGAGTTCATGTGTGACCATGTGAACACTTTGCTAGGGTCCCTGGCAGAGCTTTAAGTGAACTTTAGCTTCATTTGCTTCACAGTAAATCCATGTCTGATTATTGATAACAGAATCTCAGTACTCCACCTTCAGTACTCCAGACCTCTGGCCTTTCTAGTTGGCCTTATACTCTGCAGGTTGCAGGTTAGAGGTGGGGCCTGTTGTCCCAACAGCCCCTGAGTGGACCAGTCCTTTGTCTAACCAGATTGAACTACTCTACTCTGTTTTCAAAACATATATTGCATTTTCTACCCTTCTTCTGGCTGTGCTTGTTGAAAATTATACTTTTCCTTCAAGACCCAGCTCCTGGTTGCCTACTTCAGGGACCTGTCCCTGCCTTCTTCATCTTTCCTGTGCCTCTTCCCCTCTCTGTCAAGGGGTTTGCAGCTAAGTTTATGCCAGGTCTGGTTGGTGTGCTTTCCTCACTGTGAGCACTGATGACCTTTGGCTCCAGGAGCAGGGAGCAATATGGAGGGCTTGCATTGCCAATATGGGTGGTGGTTTTTATTGTGATTTTAGTTTGTATCAGTTATTCACACAGAAAATTTAGTTAAGTGCAACACTATGAAAAATGTGGTGCCCTGTCCCCATTTTCCTCACTCTTTTTCTCAGAGATCACTTTCAATTTTCTGATAGTTACACCCATTTTTCTAAATAATAGTTTTAGACATATTCATAGCATGTGATTACATTAGCTAGTAATGGTTTTGATGTTCACATTCTGATGACCACAAAACTATATAATGCCAAGAAGCCTACTTGTATTACAATTCTTTTCTTTCTTATACAACTTGTATTTTCCTTGAAGATTAAAAAAAAAAGTTTTTTTTCCACATGCTTAACTTTCTTTGTATGTATTGATAATAACCTTCTAACTTCTCCACAGGAGTTTTAACACTCTTCATGTTCGTTGCTGGAGAAATATGGTCTTCATAACAATGCTTACATCAGAAGCCTCTGGAAGGCTTATTAAAGCAAGCAGAGTTCTATTAGGGTTTCTGGTCTGCTAGGTATGGAGTTAGGCTCAGATTTAGTCTTTCTACCAAGTTCCCATCTGATACTAATGCCACTGGTCTGGAGACCACTCTTTGAGAACCACTGCTGTATAGTGGGTATTTGACTTTTTTCATTCACCTCTTAAGGAAACTTTGGATATTGTCCAATTTGGGATTATTCTGAATGATGTTGCTAT